GCAGGCAGATAACAAGCCCGAGTACTAATTTACCCAGTTGTTTGGCATATACAATGACTACTCTTTCGGGTCAAAACAACAAGATCTCACATACTTGTATTGTGCTTCTATCTTTCACTGTGCATTTGCTATGATTAGAGAAATTTGCTATAAAAGGATAAAACTGGGACATGACTATGCCAAGTATGACAGGATTAAACATCCTTAGCTCTGTTTGAATTCAGATGATTCACAGTTTTCCAACCATGCAGTATCATTTCCACCTCATAGCCAGAATAAGGAATAGCCAGGTGGGAAACATTCCTTTTCAAAGGAACATAATGGGGAAACTGAGCCAGGAGAATCCCACCTCAGACTGAGGCTAAGATTGTCCTCTCAGCTTTTCCAGATGTAGACCTCCACCTGTATCACATTCTCTCTGAGTAGCTTCTGGCATTTCTCTCAGATGGTGGATTATTGATTATTGATTATTGATGGATTATTATGATCCATCAGACAACTCAAAATAAAAGCAGTTACAGTCTCAAGAGCTTTTTCCTCAAACAGCAAGTTTCACTAATCACAGTTTGGCAAAAAGTTACCAAGATTTACCTTTCAAATTTAAATCTGTGCTGGTAAAAAAGCCAAATGTTAGAGATCACTTACAGAAACTTACAAATTCTCAGCAAGCCAAGTTTATTGTTTAGGAATTCCATCACCCAAACGAGCTCCTTGGTAAGTTTACAAAATAAGGGACATCAACAGGGATCCCAGAGCAGGGCTGCCTATCACTGCCATCTCCCCTTAGAGCTGCTGGGCTGGGCCTTTTGACTAGCCCTGAGGACTGCTCTGAGCGGGCAGAACCAATCAGGATAAGGCTTTCACCTCATCACCTGCTTTCCACACACATACTGAGTAGTCAATTACCAGTTTTACATTTTAGCATTAAAAATGACCCAAAATACTTGGTTTTCTAAATGTCACTTAAAAAATATTATAAGACAGGGTTAGTAGGAAAACAATCTTTCCATTGTCTTTTTAGTTTCTCTCATTTCATACTCTAATAACATCCAAGTTAGGAAAAGATGCTTGACAAAGCTGATGCAAAAGTTTACCAGTTTGAAACTTGAAGCAAACCCATTATCACTCAGGCAATTTTAATCTGGTTGAATGAATTTCCAAATTACACAGAAAATTGGTGTCTCATAATGAACATATTGAAACCACACCTTTAAAAGAGGGAGCTTACCAAGTGCAGAGGCTGGCTGGCTTCTTACCTCCTGCTGCCTTAATCCATCCCCCGTCCCCTTCCCTCCTCCCCAGGGCAGCTGATGCTGCTTGTAGCTGCTGGGGTGCGAGGTAGTAGGTGAGCAGGATTGCTGACCACAGGTGATCCTTCCAGGCTTTCTGGGCAGGCTACAGGGTGCCAAGGGGCCCAGAGCCATTGCCAGTGGGTCCCCCAGCTGTAGCTGCTGCCATTCTACCCTCCTTCCTTTTGCCAGCTGAGGGAGGGTAAATTCAAAGGTTGGGGAGGGTGACTCAAATTCCCTACCATTCACAAGGACTCTCTTCTCTTAGTCTGATCATATTCCTTTTGAAGGTCTTGGGGACCAAGTTTTCCAGTTCTATGGAAGATAACCTAGGGGCAAACATTGGGGAAGTCCCATTGAGTCTGCCTGAAGAGGCTGAGGATCCAGAGGCCATGAGGCCAGAGGAGAAGGGGAATCCTGCAGGCATGGGCATAGGGACTGGGAGTCTCTCTGTGAAGGAGGATCCCTGGGTAGAGGGAAATTTGCCCATTTCGTTGCCTGTAAGCCTCAGGAAACCAAAAGCACCTACGGTTTCTCAATTCCCTAGCATCCAAGAGAAATAGAGAATTGGGCATACGTTTCCTGATAGGATGTTCCCTATGCAGCAGAAAGTTTGCCCAGGTCCGAGACAACATACCAAAATTTAGGGAATGCAGCCAAAGCAGTTCTAGGGAAACTTTATATCTCTAAATGCTTTCCTCAATACCACAGAAAAAGAGGAGATCAGTGAATTGGGCATGCAACTAAAAAACTACAGAAAGAACACATTAAAAATCCCCAATTAAATACCAAATTAGAAATTCTCAAAACCAAAGGAAAGATTAATACAATTGAAATCAAGAAACCACTGAACTAATAAATAGAATTAAGTGCTGGTTTTATGAAAAGAGCAACAGAATAGGTAAACCTTTGAGTAATTTGGTTAAAAAAGAAAAAGTAAGTTACTAGTATCAAAAATAAAAAGAGTGAATTCACCACCAATGAAGAGTAATTAAAACAATGATTAGGAGCTATTTTGATCAACTATATGCAAATAAGTCTGACAATCCAAGTGAAATGAATGAATATTTACAACAATGCAAATTGCCCAAATTCATAGAAGAGGAAATAAAATACCTAAGTAACCCAATTTCAGAAAAAGAAATTGAAAAGGCCATCAATCAAAAAGCCCTAACAAAAAGTCTCCCAGGCCAGATGGATTTATAAGGGAATTCCACCAAACATTTAAAGGACAATTAATTCAATACTATATAAACTATCTGGAAAAACAGGAAAAGAAGGAATCCTACCAAATTCTTTTTATGATATAAATATGGTTCTGATGCCTAAACCAGAAAGACCCAAAATGGAGAAAGAAAATTATAGGCCTATTTCCCTAATGAATATAAATGCAAAAATTTTAAATAAAATATTTGCTAAGAGTTTACAGCAACTTATCACTAGGACATGGCAGTATTTATACCAGGAATACAGGGCTGGTTAAATATTTGGAAAATTATCAGCAGAATTAACCATATCAGTAACAAAATTAACAGAAATCATATCATTATCCCAATACATGCAGAAAAAGCTTTTGACAAAATACAGCACCCATTGCTATTAAAAACACTACAGAGAACAGAAATAAGTGGAATTTTCTTAAAATGAGAAGTAGCATCTATCTATCACCATCAGCAAGCATTATAAATAATGGGGATACGCTAGAAGTTTTCTACTAAGATCAGAGGTAAAAGAAAGATGTCCATTGTCACCACTGTTATTCAAGATTTTACTAGAAATGTTAGCTTTAGCTACAAGAGAAGAAAAAGAAATTAAGAGAATCAGAATAGGCAATGAAGAAACAATGCTATCATTCTTTGGAGTTAATGTCATGTTATACTTAGAGAATCCTAGAGAATCAATTAAAAAACTATTTGAAATAGATAACTTTACTGAAGTTGCAGCATATAAAATAAACCCACATAAATCATTAGAATTTTCATATATTACTTAACAAAGCTCTGTAGCAAGAGATAGAGAAATGTGTATTTATCTGATTCCCTCTAATTTGACAGCAATCCCTGATGGCAATGATTGCTGAGTACAGAACTTGAAGCTAGAAGGGTTTCAAACATATTCTACTCTGTATTCCTCATTTTACAGATGAACACAAATCAGATGAAAGGGAGATGTATTCATATCCACAAATGCAATAGTAAATTTTAGTTTGAATTCAGATCCTTAGAATTTTATTCCATTCGTATCCCTAGACACATTAGACAATTAATAAGTATTTGTTGAATTGAATTGAGTTGAAATCACTGCACATTTTCTAACTGTTGATCCTCATGATATCATTACTCAGTACCATTTCTTTAAAATGTCAACATTCTATTGGCATAGCAGTGCAGCCATTTAATAAGATACAGGATACTTCTATGGACTGGTCTTGGATTTGCATTTTTCTATTTTACCTGGTTTGGTAAAAGTGCTGGACTTCTTTATCTTCTAGAGAAATCACAGTTCTGTCATGTACTTCTACTTACAAGTCTTTGTATCATTTGTAAGACTGCTTTGGAAAAAGGTAGACACATATAGCCATTGTAATCACAGCTGGTGATCTAATCTCCAAGCAGCTTCTTCTTTTATAGTTCTTATAGTTAGTCATTTACACACAACACATACACACATACACATACATATGTATCTGTATGTATATTATAAATATATATACATTTATGTATGCACGTATATTTTAATAAATATATGTGTGTGTACACACACACATATAAATAACACATACCCCTCTCTCTCTGTCTCTCATATATATATATATATATATATATATATATATGTATGTATGTGTGTATTATGTATGTATGTATGTATATATCCACAATTAATTGTAGCATTCTGTGGTGGGGAGTACGGAGGAAGGGGAAAAAAGAACAAAGTGAAAAGTGTACAGCAGAGAAGCAAAGAAAACTTACAAGAAAGCAAAGAGAAGATGGACAGATCTCAACACAATGTGTAGTATTTATTACATACACTTTTTGAAATGGAAATTTATTGCTGTGTATTTTGAATCCTCTCTCATATTCTTCTGTGCACATGACAATGCAAACATGACAAAGCAAATAATCCCTGCCACCACCAGTCATCACGTGGTAAACAAAGTACTTTCCTGAGCAGCAAAATTTCTCCCTTACATCAGGAAATTATCTTAGTTTGATCGATCTTAAAAGCAAAAGCAACCATGGTGGTATTATGTGAATAAAGGATGAGTTAGCAAAAAAATGATTGCTCTTGATTTTAAATTCCACAGCCAACTAGAAAGCACACTCCTATTACTTCGTGGGTGCCCTAGGCTGTCTTTTCCAAAGCCAGGGGGGGCTGCATGCAGAATTGTATCACCTTAGTTGAAAGTGGACCTAATTTTGATCCAACTAAATTCCACTAAAAACAGTGAAGGGCTTCCTCTCTCCCACATGGCAGAAGGATTTCTGACAAGCAGGTGCTCTGGTCTCCTGTCACCAGACAAGAGTTCTCTGGGCCTTGAATTCAATTGAATAAAGGGCAGGGTTTGCTTAGTTAAAGCTGGGCAGTTGCACATAGTCAAGATTTAGGACATGATTTTAATGAACACATGCAAACACTTTTAATTTCCTTTAGGGATATTATAGTAAGGCTTAGAAAATGCATCAAATGTTTCAGTCTTTGCCAACACCAGTGTATGTTTGACACATTTCCAACAAAGGAGGTAAAGTTTCGGCTTAATTTCCCAGTTTAAAAGAAGTATACAGTTTTGTCAAGATTTTTAAAGTCAAAACTTTACAATGTGAAAGAGGATCAACTATGGGGGTGGGGGACGGAGAACAAAGTAAAAAAGAACAAAGCAGAAATAAAAAAGGAGATTTCAAAGAAGGGGCAAAGCTAAGTGCTGGCCCCTCAGCAACATTCCTGTTTTGCTATGACATGTCTTTAGTCACCAAAGTAAGAATACGGATTTTTGGCTCTCACCTTCCAAAATAACAAGTAATTTTGTTTAGCAGGTACCGGAAAGCATGAACACCTGACTTTGTTATAATAACAATATATCCCAAAATATTCATTTTCCGCACTAGAATGAAACCTGAAAAAAAAATTAATTTTACCCATCACTTCACTAGAAACAATTTACAAACAATTAGTTCTACAAAGATTCACACTGGAAAACCCCCTCCCAAAGCCCTCCAATTTCCTTTGTGCAGAGATGTAATAGTCACCAAGCCACCTCGAGTGACAAGGTGGTAGTGGGCTGTCCCCAGCACCCGAGGTTAAATGTCAGAATAGGAAGAACAAGGGGGCAACCAGGCTAGATGGCTCAGTGGACAGAGCTGGGCCTGGGCTCATGATGACTCATCTCCCTGAGTTCAAATCCAACCTCAGATACACCTGTTTGCCTCAGTTTCCTCATCTGTAAGATGTAGAAGGGAATGGCAAACTACTTTCCACCCAGTATCTCTGCCAAGAAGACCCCCAAAAAGCTCAGGAATACTGCACTGGTCACCACTGAACTCCAAACAAAAGGACAGATGAGGAGGAGCTGTCCAAAGACAACCCCAACAATGATCCCTGACATCTGGGCAGGCAGCCCACCCAAAGCTCAGGGGCTGGTGAATCAGTCCTGAGCCCTGGTCAGTTTCAGGGAGGAGGGTGGGGGTCCTGTGACCCAGGCCATTCCCTAATTAAGGGCACAGTCTGGGGAGACTTCTCCCACGGACGCCTTCCCAGGAAGAGTGTCAGACTGACCTTTGGCCAGCATACCAGACACACTGATCCTTCCACAATTCAAAACTGATCGACCCTGGGGACCCCTGTTGCTGACCAACCCCCCCCCCCATTTGAATCCCCTTACCTCACTCTGCTGGTAAGATGGAACTGCTCCAGGGCCTGCCTGGGCTCAAGGAGAGGCCCTCTGTGAAGTCTCACAAGGGGCCGCCAGCAGAGGGCTGACCCCAGCAATCCCGTTGCAGGGGAGTGAGGGATACAGGAAACTATCAATCCGTATAAGAATAATATATTCAAAAGTATTCACTTTCCGCAATAGAATAAAAATCTGAAAGAGAGAATTTTAATTTTACTCATCACTTCAGAAGAAACAATTTACAAACAGTTGTACAAACATTTCCATTCTTCTTTGTGGGAGGGAAAAAGATTCACACCTGGAAAAAAACCCAAAATACTGCTCGAATGGCCTTTGTACAGAGCTGTAATAGTCACCAAACCACTTCCAGTGACAAGGTGGTAGTGGGCTATGCCCACCCCCCACCCCAGGTTAGATGTCAGAATAGGAAGAACAAGGGGGCAACCAGGCTAGATGGCTCAGTGGACAGAGCTGGGCCTGGGCTCATGATGACTCATCTCCCTGAGTTCAAATCCAACCTCAGATACACCTGTTTGCCTCAGTTTCCTCATCTGTAAGATGTAGAAGGGAATGGCAAACTACTTTCCACCCAGTATCTCTGCCAAGAAGACCCCCAAAAAGCTCAGGAATACTGCACTGGTCACCACTGAACTCCAAACAAAAGGACAAATGAGGAAGAGCTGTCCAAAGACAACCCCAACAATGATCCCTGACATCTGGGCAGGCAGCCCACCCAAAGCTCAGGGGCTGGTGAATCAGTCCTGAGCCCTGGTCAGTTTCAGGGAGGAGGGTGGGGGTCCTGTGACCCAGGCCATTCCCTAATTAAGGGCACAGTCTGGGGAGACTTCTCCCACGGACGCCTTCCCAGGAAGAGTCTCAGACTGACCTTTGGCCAGCATACCAGACACACTGATCCTTCCACAATTCAAAATTGATCGACCCTGGGGACCCCTGTTGCTGACCAACCCCCCCCCCCATTTGAATCCCCTTACCTCACTCTGCTGGTAAGATGGAACTGCTCCAGGGCCTGCCTGGGCTCAAGGAGAGGCCCTCTGTGAAGTCTCACAAGGGGCCGCCAGCAGAGGGCTGACCCAGCAATCACCTTGCAGGGGAGTGAGGGATACAGAAACTATCAATCCGTATAAGAATAATATATTCAAAAGTATTCACTTTCCGCAATAGAATAAAAACCTGAAAGAGAGAATTTTAATTTTACTCAAAACTGCAGAAGAAACAATTTACAAACAGTTCTACAAACATTTCCATTCTTCTTTGTGGGAGGGGAAAAGATTCACACCTGGAAAAAAACCCAAAATACTGCTCGAATGGCCTTTGTACAGAGCTGTAATAGTCACCAAACCACTTCCAGTGACAAGGTGGTAGTGGGCTATGCCCACCCCCCACCCCAGGTTAGATGTCAGAATAGGAAGAACAAGGGGGCAACCAGGCTAGATGGCTCAGTGGACAGAGCTGGGCCTGGGCTCATGATGACTCATCTCCCTGAGTTCAAATCCAACCTCAGAGACACCTGTTTGCCTCAGTTTCCTCATCTGTAAGATGTAGAAGGGAATGGCAAACTACTTTCCACCCAGTATCTCTGCCAAGAAGACCCCAAAAAAGCTCAGGAATACTGCACTGGTCACCACTGAACTCCAAACAAAAGAACTGATGAGGAAGAGCTGTCCAAAGACAACCCCAACAATGATCCCTGACATCTGGGCAGGCAGCCCACCCAAAGCCCAGGGGCTGGTGAATCAGTCCTGAGTCCTGGTCAGTTTCAGGGAGGAGGGTGGGGGGCCTGTGACCCAGCCCCTTCGGGGGTACTTCCCCCAGTGACAACTTCCCAGGTAGAGTGTCAGAGCGACCCTTGGCCAGCGCACCACACACAGAGACGTCCCGCAATTCCAAAAGGAATGACGCTGTGGCCCCCCTGCTGCTGACCACACCCCCATTTTACCCTGCCTACCTCGCTCTGCTGTCGGGCAGAAATGGCAGGGGCGGGACCCGGGACCGGGCTTAAGGAGGGGACCTGGGACGTCACACAAGGGGGCTCCCACACGCCAGAATGGGGGGCCCACCTCATGATCACAATGGGGGGTGGGAATACCGCAAACTGTAAGTCCCTGTGTCCTTTCAATAACAATAATATATCCCAAAGTATTCACTTTCTGCACTAGAATAAAAACCTGAAAACCAGAATTTTCATTTTGGCCACCACTTCACAAGAAACAATTTACAAACAGTTCTACAAAAAGTTCTCTTCTTCCTTGTGAAAAACAAAACAAAACAAAACAAAACAAAACAAGAACACTCAAATTGCCTTTTTACAGAGCTGTAATAGTCACCAAGCTACCTGGAGTGACAAGGTGGTAGTGCGCTGTCCCCAGCCCCCACCCCAGGTTAGATGTCAGAATAGGAAGAACAAGAGGGCAGCCAGGCTAGATGGCTCAGTGGACAGAGCCGGGCCTGGGCTCATGAAGACTCATCTCCCTGAGCTCAAATCCAGCCTCAGATACACACACTAATTGGTAACCCCTGGCCAAGTCACTTTACCCTGTTTGCCTCAGTTTCCTCATCTGTAAGATAAAAAAAGAGAATGGAAAACCACTCTCCACCCAGTATCTCTGCCAAGAAGTCCCCAAACAAGCTCAGGAACAGTGCACTGGTCACCACTGAACTCCAAACCAAAGGACAGATGAGGAGGAGTTGTCCAAAGCCCTCCCTCCACCCCCTCATGATACCTGACAGCTGAGCAGGCAGCCCCCCTCAAGCCCGGGGAGGTGGATCAGTAATCAGATTGAGGGGGATCCGTAGGCCTGGTCAGTTTCAGGGAGGGGCGTGGAGGTCCTGTGACTCAGGCCCTTCGGGGGTACTTCCCCCCAGTGACACCTTCCCAGGAAGTGTGACAGACCGACCCTTGGCCAGCGCACCACACACACAGACCTTCCCGCAATTCCAAAGGGAAGGACGCTGGGGACCCCTGCTGCTGACCACACCCCCATTTACCCTGCCTACCTCGCTCTGCTGTCGGGCAGAAATGGCAGGGGCGGGACCCGGGACCGGGCTTAAGAAGGGGCCCTGTGACGTCACACAAGGGGCTCCGACACGCCAGAATGGGGGACCCACCTGATCATCACAATGGGGGGTGGGAATACCGCAAACTGTAAGTCCCTGTGTCCTTTCAATAACAATAATACAGCCCAAAGTATTCACTTTCCGCACTAGAATAAAAACCTGAAAACCAGAATTTTCATTTTGGCCACCACTTCACAAGAAACAATTTACAAACAGTTCTACAAAAGTTCTCTTCTTCCTTGTGAAAAACAAACCAAAACAAAACAAAAGCCTTCACACTGCCTTTTTACAGAGCTGTACAGATAACAGTTATCACAGTGATCCAGCTTGCCTTCTGGGCATCAGTGGCTGGGGGAGCCTCTGGGCTGAAGCCCCTGCCCTGATGCTGGCGTGGTGACCCAGCTGGCCAGCCACCCCAGGAAGCTTGTCCTGGGTCAGCTTCAGGAGGCCACCTCTTGAGGACCTGGGGTGCCCTCAGCCCTGCCAGGAAGGCCTCTCCTCTGGCCTTTCTTGATCCACAGTTATGGACAGCAAAGGAGAGATGGGAGCTGACGGGGAGGCCAGAGGGTGTTTTTCAAATGCCCAAGATAAAACCCAAAGGATTTCAAAGGAAAGCAATTTATGTCGAAATCAACATGCAGGGTTTTTTTCCATCCAAGTCTATAGATCCCTCTGAAATCTGTCCCCAGCCCTTGCACCCCAGCAGGAGCCTCACCTGTGGGAATCCCCACCAAGGCAGGAAAGGAAGGGACCGCTTATCCCTTAGGGAGTGACTTCATATGGGCTCAGGAAGACCCAGGGAGGGCTTCAGGGATGGATAGATGCTGTGTGAGCTTCCAGACTACTGGGCTGTTTGGGAATACACCCACCTTTAGTAATGAAGGCAGTGATCACCAATTCCTGTAGCATTTTGAGGCTGGCAAAATACTTCACATACATATCTCCTCTGGTGCTAACAAAAACCCTTGGGAGGACTATTATCCCCTTTACACATGAGGAAACTGAGTCTCAGAAAGGCTCAGGAAGAAAGTGATTTGCCCAGGGCCACGCTGCTGCCTTCAGTGGGTGGCCGTGAATACTGCAGACATCCTACACCTGTGTGCAGTTTGACCAAAGCCCCAGAGCCTCTGTGATCTGATCACAGCTTTCTAAAGTAAACATCTGTAGGGTTTGTTTACTTGGGACCAAACATCCAGATATTTGGAAGTAAAAGCCAAGGCCCGTCCCAGAGAATTCCCCAGGGTCACCCCAGGTTCATCTCCTGGGAATCTTGGCTGTGGGTAGCCTGCTGCTGCCCCGTCCTCCAGTGAGACAGATGGCCATTCTCAGGGTCTCGGGTTCAAAGGCTGCCTTGATGCCTGACTAAGCTTTTCTTGCCTTCTGGCTGCTTGGCATCATGGTGTAGACATACCCTTCGGCTGCCATTGGAGGCAGTGTTGCAATTGGCCCACAAGGTCTCCTCTCCCATTCGGAGTGTCTGCCACAGCCTGGGCATGGTACTAATGTCCTGTGACAGATACCAAGCATTGTTAGGGGGCAAAAAAGGTAGCCCTTCCCAGGCCCCTGGGAAGGCAGCACCTCCCCTCAGCCAGGCCCTTGCCCTCCACAGTCTCCGGAGCTGTGGACAAAGGAAAAGGGAAATATCACCAACATCTTGGGTCCAGCCGCATGCCTCTCCTCCCCTGGTCCTGCCCTCCCTCTAGCTCCCAGGTGCCTGCAGGTCCTCTCAGAGCATGGGGGCAGGAGGGAGGGAAGGAGGGGGGGCTTCTGGGAAGAGCTGCCCCTGGGGATGGAGGCTAGCTATAGGCCTCTGGGTCAAAGGCTGGAGCTGAATCTGCTATCCCAGCCACCTCCCCCTGCTTCCAGAGCCCATGTGCCCCCCGGGGCATTTCCAAGTCCAGATTGCAAAGCTCTCATCCTAGAAGTCTTCACTGCTTCACCCAGTGGCTCACTGAGGCGTCCCTGCTTAGGCACAAGCTGACCTCGATGGACTTGGAAAGGCCTGCCAAGTTCAAACCATTGGATCAACAAGAGAAATCTTTCTGAGTATTCATGTGTTGGCCTTTCCCACTTCCTTCAGGCCTCATAAGCTGCCTCCTGCATTTCAAGCCAATCCTCACTGAGCATATACTATGTGAAACGCCTTGGGCTCTGGGCAACAAGGGGCTGCCCTCATGGAGTTTAAAGTCCAAGGGGAGACTTGCATGAATTTGTTCACCTGTCAGTAGAATTAGAAGTGGAATGTAATAGGGACAAAGAAGAGATCCAAAATTTTGTCCACCCAGAAACCACACCTTGTAGAGTTGGGGGCGAGAGGTTTTCACTGGCTCAGGGTTAATTTGGAGGAAAAACCATCTATCTTAGATCTCCTGAATCTTCCAGTATCCTGTGGCTCCCAGGGAATGCATCATTTTCTGGACTTGATGAGTACAGAGCCATCCCTGATTCAGGCCACCCTGGCCCAGCACCTAGAAATGGAGAAGCGGCTTTAGGGAGATGGCTGGGTGGGGCCCAGCCCACTTGAATGGGTCTTCCAATGCGGCTGCAGGCTGCTCCTGGAGGCAGCAGGGCAGACGCCAGCTCGATGTGGCTTTGGGGGCACCCTTCTGCTGACACCCCCTTTCTTTCCTTCCAGATGACCACTCCAGGGTGATTCTCAGCCAAGTGGATGGAATTCCATGCTCAGACTACATCAATGCTTCGTACACAGACGTAAGCCAAGGGTTTTCTCCTCAACCAATGCTACTCAAATACCTGCTTTTAGGTAAACCATGACTGGCAGTGTGCCTTAGTGGGTAGAGACTTAGCTTCAGAGTCAGGAAGACACCTGGGTTCACATGGTTCCTCCCGGGTCAAGTGCTTTAGTCTCTCAGTGGCCCCAAGCAGGTCTCTGGGATAACAATAAACAGCAGGGAAGATTGGGGCCTGCTCTGGGAGAGGGGGTTGTTTTCACCAGGGAGCTCTGTAGACTCAGGAAGTCATGAGGCGGGGTCAATCTCGAGCCCTT